TCTGGCTTGTATCTAACTTAAATATTAACTGACTCACCATCTCGCTTTTATTTGCTGGGTTATTTACACCAAACATTATTTAGTCTAATTGTGGATGTAGAACGATTACCCGTGATGTTTGAAATTTCATACGCAAGTATAAAGATATTAATATTATTCTATTGATAATAGATACGAAACCAACAGGTGACGAGAAGAAATTTTTTCATTCATTTTTATCGTATTCACTTTATAAGTTAACAAAGATATGGGTAGGAAAAATAAACGAAGAGTCTCTTAAAATCGGTAAACTCTGAAGAAGCTACACTTGCTGCCAGTGTGTGTGTGTTTTTAAATATTTCTAAACACTTTGATCAAGTTTCATTAAGCTTCAAGTTTTTTAATTTAGTGTATACATAAATCTGTGGTAGTGACAGTCAATGGAATAGAGGTTATAAAACCCTGCGTGGTGTGATATAAAAATAATAAAAAAACTGCTTAACAGACACTTTTTTAGAATATTTGGTTGAAACGTGAATTAAGAACTGTATGTTGAAAGAGATATCAAAGTAGGATACTTTACTTAGAGTTTACAAGGAAAACAAGGACCGTAGCTTTAAGTGTAACAAGTCAATATAAGGAATAGCTAATTTAGTTTCATGAAGAGGATTTATTTTATACAAATTGTCAAGTTGGAAACCAACGACTTATTTTAATTTCCACTGATTGCACGAAGAATTTGTATAGCTCCTTGGGAATCATTTAAATTTTACTAATTATTTTAATGTTTTTGTGAGTTGTGGAATGATGTAAGAACTATAAACACTATTTTGTTTTTTTCTTTAAAGCTTGAAAAAAATATGAAGAGGGTTAGTTATTGCATTTTCAGCTAATTTTATAATAAAATCTACCTCATAAAGAAACAAATAAACTCGGAACTGTAGTGTGAATATAATATTGAACATTACACATCTTAAAAGTAAATATCAGCTGTATAACATATTAACTAAGTCAAGTAAACTCAAGCAGTATCAATCTATATAACGTAATAACAATAATTATTCAACAAATTAATCTTTATTTCTAATCCATATAAACACTCTTAAAATTAAACTATACAAACACTTTATTCCTATAAGGAACAACTTCTGCGTTAGTTATGATTAATTATAAGGTGTATAAAGTTCATAATTAGAAACTTATCTAATACTATTTTTAGTTTATATGAGACAATCAAGCTTGAAGGGTAAGGTAATGTAACCAAAATGGCGGCTTATAAGTGATAAAGAGCACGAGAAAGAGGCGTTCCTCAATAAGCTTTGTAATGATCGCACCTCCTCGAAAGAAGCTCAATTTGCGATGCTCAAAGCGCCATCTACTAGTTAACAATAAAGTGGAATATATTTATATATATCATACATAAAAAACAGAGGTAGCGATAATTCACAATGTGTTTTATTTCAAAATAAATATGAATAAATTGCATAATGTGTTCAATAGGAGGCAGTACTTGAATGAAGAGAAAAACTGAAAGAGTAGTAACAGATATTCTATGATATATTGTTTAAGCACATGATGAGTAACCTGGAATGGACACTAACTGCCTGTTGTAAATGTTTGTTTGTTTGTCATGGATTGCGCGCAAAGCTACACGAGGGCTATCTGCGCTAGCCGTCCCTAACTTAGCAGTGTAAGACTAGAGGGAAGGCAGCTAATCATCACCGCCCACCGCCAACTCTTGGGCTATTATTTTACCAACGAATAGTGGGATTGACCGTCACTTTATAACGCCCCCACGGCTGAAAGGGCAAGCATGTTTGGTGTGAAGGGAATTCGAACCCGCGACCCGCAGATTGCGAGTCGAGCATCCTAACCACCTAGCCATGCCGGGCCGCCTGTTGTAAAAAAGCGCGAGTGTAGAAAACGACATTTTGAAAGTCTTTCTTCTTTCGACAGAACCTGAAGACAAAAAACGGAAGACTTTCAAAACGTCTTCCTCTATTCCCCTGTTTTTTTTCAGTTTACTGATCAGTAATGATATATTTGGAATAAAATATATATTAATCACAAGACACGTCATCTGAGAGACAAAACTTCTATGTACATAAGTATAAACAATTAAAAACTATATTTGTTTTTAGCACAGCAAGAGAAGTTAGACGAGGTGTATTATTTTAACGAAACTTCAACAGTATTCAAGGTACTGAAACGAAATATAGGGACATTCATTAGGTAATTTGATTAGATTAAATAATCCAAAATGAAATAATATTTACAGGAAGCAGGAATAAATTACCACACCCTTTTACTACATAACTACATAAATAATTCACACAAAATATATATTTTGTGTTAATACGTTTACTACTCGCAAATTAAAACGTTCGAGCAAGACATTGTTAATTTGCAAGTCGTTCATAAATAATGAGTGAAATTCATAACATATATTATTTCACGAAATGTAAAAAGAGTCCATACAGTAATATTCTCGATTGAAACGGTCACTATACAGTACTTAAAGTTTAAAATGATATAGGCATACTATAGTTTGAAGTTATAATGTTCATATGATACAGAGATAATTCAAAGATATCACAATTAATTGGTTTCGTTCCAAACCGAAAGAGTTTTCTTTTGAAACTGCCTGAAAGATATTATTCAAAAGTAAACGTTTATAACCAGCCTGAAGAGCTTCGGATTGAGCGAAACGTATCGTCGCCAATGAATATAACGAATATACTTTGGTTGAAATACTAATATTATACAGTTTTCTTATTCATTAAAATCCCTAAGGAATTAGATACAGAATGTAATGTTTAAAAATATAATAGGTCTAAAATAGTTAGTTAAATCTATTATTTGTTACTATTAATGTTTTAATGTAGGTTTCTCTGTTGATGGAATGGACTATTTATGATAATTGTCTCCATAAAAGCAATATGATGCACTTGATATATATATATATATTCATTGTTTTCTAAACAGCTTATCAGACTTGACCAGATATAGGAATATGCTGAAAATGTACTTTGAACTCGCAAGTTAATATAATTCGTGGAAATAAAAAGTCAACAATAAAACTTTTAAACCTTTAAAAGTTTTGATGCTGGAACTGTCCAGGCGTTATATCGAACAACTGAACATACATCACAGATAAAATGTTATAAAGAGGCTTTGAGTTATTAATTTTGTATAATCACACTTAGCAGAAAGCTAGTGGAGTTCTCCTGTGATGTCTTGTTAGAATATCACTCTACATACAGGATCAAGCCTGAGGTGTATAATCACACTTAATAGAAAGTTACTGGAGTTCTACTGTGGTATCTTGTTAGAATAACAGTTTACATACAGGATCTAGCCTAAGGTGTATAATCACACTTAATAGAAAGTTACTGGAGTTCTACTGTGGTATCTTGTTAGAATAACACTCTACATACAGGATCAAGCCTAAGTTGTATAATCACACTTAATAGAAAGTTACTGAAGTTCTACTGTAGTATCTTGTTAGAATAACATTCTTCATACAGGATCTAGTCTGAGGTGTATAATCACACTTAATAGAAAGTTACCGAAGTTTTACTGTGGTATCTTGTTAGAATAACACTCTACATACAGGATCTAGCCTGAGGTGTATAATCACACTTAATAGAAAGTTACCGAAGTTCTACTGTGGTATCTTGTTAGAATAACACTCTACATACAGGATCTAGCCTGAGGTGTATAATCACACTTAATAGAAATTTACTGGAGTTCTACTGTGGTATCTTGTTAGAATAACAGTTTACACACAGGATCTAGCCTGAGGTGTATAATCACACTTAACAGAAATTTACTGTAGTTCTATAAACTGTTATTCTAACAAGATACCACAGTAGAATTTCAGTAACTTTCTGTTAAGTGGGATTATACACCACCTCAGGCTAGATCCTATATGTAAACTGTTATTCTAACAAGATACCACAACATACAGGATTTAGCCTGAGGTGTATAATCACACTTAATACAAAGTTTCTGGAGTTCTACTGTGGTATCTTGTTAGAATAACAGTTTACATATAGGATCTAGCCTGAGGTGGTGTATAATCCCACTTAACAGAAAGTTACTGAAGTTCTACTGTGGTATCTTGTTAGAATAACAGTTTACATACAGGATTTAGCCTGAGGTGTATAATCACACTTAATAGAAAGTTTCTGGAGTTCTACTGTGGTATCTTGTTAGAATAACACTCTACATACAGGATCTAGTCTGAGGTGGTGTATAATCACACTTAACTAATGCAGTTCTACTATGGTATCCTGTTAGAATAATACTACATACAGGAGCTAGCCTGAGGTGTATAATCACACTTAACAGAAAGTTACTGGAGTTCTACTGTGGTATTTTGATAGAATAACACTCTACATACAGAATCTAGCCTCAGGTGGTGTATAATCACACTTAACAGAAAGTTCTGCAGGGTTTGGGGAGCAGTGATCTGTATAAATGATTTAATCTGAGTAGTATAGTCACACTAACAAAAACTTACTCTAGTTCTATTTGGTGCTTATTTTGTTAGTATACTACAGTTAATAAACGAGCAATAGAGAGTCTCACGGGGAAATATATTATTCTAGTTTATGAGATCCACATTTGAACTTAGTTTTATTATCACTTTTTAGAAAAGTTTTTCTGAAATAAAGGCAGATTTATAACTCTGCCTATCATTCATTCTTAACTGTTTTTTTGCTTGCCAAAATTGTCACTTTAACTCTATACATTAGTCTATTTATATCAAATTAAGTAACATCCAATACAGCAAAGTAATCTTTTCTGATTATTTTAGACAATAAGTTCTAAGAAATTATGACCAGAATCAGATAACACATACCCCTCCCCTTCCTACTATGTGGTTCATCTTACTATAAAGTTGTGTTCTGAATAAAAAGGTCAATTTTGAAGTTTTATTTATATCTGTTTTAAATGTTAATTTAAATATACTCGATTATTTCTAAGGTAATAGTAACATGCTAAGTGTACGTCACCTTGGTAATACGTGACTTCCACCATATATTTGGAGAAGGATAAAGCAGTAAACACAGTGGTAGAATACTTTGTAGTGTCTCATCGCCCGACAAACTAGACGCGTTGTTTGAAAAGCACGCCGAGTTTCCGTGGCGTGATGTAAGATGATTTCATCATTAGATAGCCGTGTACGTCACGGTAAAGGCGTTGCGCTGAAAGTGCAAGAGCACATACGCTATATTTCAGAAAGCGAAATCACAATGCTATTTTTAAAACAATTTTTACCAGACAAAATGTTTGGTGTGAAATCCGGGTTTAGATAATATCTTTCATTAAAATAACGGTGTACTATAATCTGTAGATTATAAGGTTGTGGTAAATTGCTTCAAACTATTGTATTTCTTAAATATATCTAAAACAAATATCGACTTGATTGTCTTAATATTTCACTGAGAGAAATATTGAGTTTAATAACACTCCTTTTGTAACATTGCTTTAAACTAAGTAAAGCAAATAAGTCGATTGTCCCGGGGGGGGGGGGCAGCGGTAAGTTTATGGACTTACACTGCTAAACATCCGGGGTTCAATTCCTTTCGGTGAACAGAGTGTAGATAGCCCATTGTGTAGCTTTGCACGACGAACACAACAAGCCGATCCTTTTCCAACTTCAGAAAGAATATTAATGCTTCAATTATTAATTCTATAAGCTTGACAACTTAAAATGCAGAATTCCCATTGCAGATAACTCTTAAGATATTTAACTCATGGAACTGTTAGAGCAGAACTACTCTATGAGCACTATGAGTAATAAGACAACTTAAAATGCAGTTGCTCTAAGAGTTCTATGAGTGAAGCAAGTTGCAATCAGCTCTTCTATCGGTTTTAAGAGTTAAATATCTTAAGAATAAACTATTCTATCTATGGGAAGACAACTTACAATTCAGCTACTGTATAACATTGATGAATAAAATATTTTAAAAGTAGTTACTCGGACAGCTTTATGAGTAAGGTCATTTAAAATTCACCCCCCACGTGTTAGATATATATATACGATTCAGCTAATTAAATAACTGTCAGTTTTCCTTGTCTTCAAACAACTTAAGCTGTTATTCTATAAGTTACTTGATCTTAAATTTAGTTGTTATTCACCTTCACAAATTATATAACACACATGAATTTATGTATAAGAATTCCAAGAATAATATATTCTCCACCACTGTATGGTGCTCTTGTCTAGAGTTATTGATGAAAGGTGTAATTCCCATAACCCGATATAACTCAATGACAAGTGGTAAATCGAATGACAGACTGGACTTCACATATAATTATTAGTATATAACACATACTTGAGCTGTTTTTCGGCTTTTTGGATAAGAAAATTTACACTTTATTATATCTTTCTCTGTTATCAAATGGGCAACCTGTGCTCTTTAGCTGCTTCTCCAGTCCTCTGAGTTAAACTACTCATCTTTCACTGCTACAATCTATACAATATAGATTCTAGTTATTTATTTGGTCACGAACAAGAAAAAGTATTATACGCTTTAGTTATTTTTTGTTTCGTTAAGCCTCATTGTTACACAACGTAGATGTCAGCTATCTTTTCGGCCTCATGGTTAGGAACACTAACCATACGAATCTTTAAAACGTTGTTCCATTAAAAATTTATGGTAAGGGAGGGAAAATATAATTGGAATATGACGTGTGTATGTATTCAGAGGGTGAAATTGTGAATTGAATAAGAAATTCATTCACATATGTTGTAAATAAAGAAATAATTATATTTCTCATTTTCCAGGTGAGGGCAAGTGGCTCCTCTTGCCTCCCCTCCCCTGCGGACGCCCATGGTTACAAAACATAGATGTTAGCTATCTTGTCAGCCCTATGAATTAATAATTTCTTCTTTAGAAGTTTTCCATCTGCTAGAGTTAGAATTATTTGTTCTTCAACTTTGTAAGTTCACAACCTAGAATTGTGGTATTGTAAAGTTGAACTTCAGTCAACGGGTAAGTTATGAAACCTCAAAATAATGTAAGTTGTGCGTTACAAAGAGTGGATAAGGTTAGCCCGATGAGAAAGGAAGATAACACATCAAAAATGTTCAATAAAGAAAACTTTTTTTTTGCCAAAATGATGAAAAAGCTATATGATTTGTGGTGAAAAAAATATTGTTTTTCAGGCCAGCTAGACTGTTTTGTTTATCATAACTAAAGGCAATACCTTCCAGAAAACTACACTGTACAAACACCTGATAATATTATCAAACTTTTAATTTTGCTTGGAGTTATATTACAAACTCTAAAATCTGCTATACTTCTCAGACTATCAAGTCACCTATGATAGTAGGCAAGTCTTATTAACAGAAAAGGGAAAACCAGATTTTTCAACAACTTTATTTTCACACATGACTAACATGCTCGAAGCACATTAAGACCCATTCAAAAGGATTATCTAGCTACTCAACCAGGTGTAAAAACAGTCATGTCTTTGGATATGTGTGACTGTTCCTAAGGGTAGGATTAGTGCAGCTCAAAGCTGGGTGAATTCATTGAACGATAAATAAAAAGACTAATGAAAATATACAAAACTACTATTTCACTATTTTAGACAACATTTATATGTTGAAATATACACACACATATGTATAGAAATGCGTTGATAACACAATAAAACTCTCCTGACTCTTTAAATAGAAAAAAAAACTGTTCTAATCGGATCAAACAGGTTTCATAAGACTTCATTCTTCAGCACTCTGAATATTTATGATGTAAAATCCAGCAAAATCTGTTGAAAGGAAACCAAGTATTGGAATTAAAAATATCGAAGGTACTAAATTTAAACTTTAGATTAAAATATGATCCAAGTGGATGATATTTTGTAGTTGCAAAAACTATTAATACAATTATTCAAAATATACACATAAAAAGGCATAAAATATAAAGAAAAATTATAACAAAAAATATAATACCTTTGAATCTTTACAACGTTGTTCAATAAAAATTGTATGGCAAGGGAGGGAAAATATAATTGGAATATGACGTGTGTATGTACTCAGAGACCTCTATTTTACAAAATATGTACACGTGCACTTTTTTACAAAAAGGAGAAAGACATTAGACTCTGTACTGCACTGAAAAGTATTTTCATTTCTACCAACATGGTCTTCATCATGGACTTTACTTGCTTCAGACTCTTTCATATTGGTCAGTCGAATTTTCAGCTGGTGGATCTTTCTTGCACCATCTACACCGAAGTTGTAGCCTCATTTTTATATGTCTTCTGATTTCTGGACCAAACACAAGTCATCAGCCCACTTTGAAACCTGGGCCTGACGATGATTCTTTCATTTGATCAGGTTCTGTGGTGTTAAAGGAGAGGATATGGAAAAATGGAGCATATAACTGCTGGTGGAGCTTTCATTACTACAGCTACTATGGTTGCTAGAAGCAGAGAAGATGACATTGGTTTATTTTCTTTCAACCCTATAAATTATTTGTTTTGGAACCGTCGGTGCACGTTGTTTTCTTTGTGTTTTTTCATATATACAATGATGTGGAAAGAAATTATTTCGGATATCTTTGTTTCTCACCCAGGACTATAGCTGTTGATGGTGTTGATATAGCCATCATGGCAGAGAAACCAGTGGGTTCTCACATTAAACTGTCGCTGAAGATGGAGTGGAGAGCACAGCAGATATGGAAGGTGGCTTCATAGTTATCAGTTGTGGAAATTTGGTCACTGACATTTCTAGAATAGACTGAGTAAGAGAAAACGATTGTTGAATCCACTTCTCCATTATCTTCCAGAGCAAACTTGCAAATTTGATTTTCATCTTGACTGTTTAATCAGAAAATACGGAGTTAAAGAAAGGAACGAAAGCTAAACAGAGTGACCAAAACGTATCATTTTATTTCAGAGGTCACTATCGAAAGGGCTGTTCAAACTCAACTTCTGATAAGTCAAAAGTTCAACTACCTACATAAAATTAAATGTCTAGGTTGTTTGGTCACAATCAAATATTTTCCGAAAAGGTTCCGAACAGTATGCGAAAGTAATAAAACAATATATCCGATTTCTTTAGCAGTGATACACGCATATATCCTATACCAGAGAGTGTGGTTAACCTAACACTTATGAATGACCTAATCCATTCATGTTTTTTTTTACGGTTATTAGAATGAGATAACCATGCCCCATGCTGGGTTGTTGCATTGAGGCAACTCTTGGTGGCTCAGTTGGCTGCTAGTTCAAGTATACATAATCTCTTATCAATGTGTGGTTGAGGGTAGCAGAGTCCTGGATTTATTGGGGAAGGAACAATGAGTAACCCAAGTAAAAACTCACACGTTGCTCAGCTGAAATGTGGTTGGAAACTCTCACAAGTGCCAGCCGCTACTCTTTGATTCTAGGAAACCATTATATTAACATTATTATAACTTGAAGATAAATTAGTAGTTATATTATTATTATTAAGTTGTATATCTGGATTACCTACACACCTGAAGCTATATAACAGTTGACAATGAACGGGGACACAAAGTGTAACTTGTAGAGAAAAACAGAATCCTGTAACATGTCCTTATCAGCAAATCAAAAAAAACACATCTGTTTCATTCGATTAACACTATGATTAAGCTCCGTTGTTGTCTGATGTCTTGCGCACATACTTATGTGATGCAGTATATATGAATCAATATGTCACAAACACAGATACACGTATATTCACATGTATACATAAATATACATCACAATATTCCATATTTTATTAGTGTACATATTTATATGGATTATGTGTTAAAACAGTATGGCATATAACAAATAAACGGCAAACACAAAAGCTGCTTTGCTGCCATCTGTTAGTTGAGAAAATCAACTCTATTGATTAATATTATGAAGAATAATCATTTCAAGTTAAATTCATGAAACTCAACCATTTCACTGCAATTCACTAACACAGAATCTTGTTCACCATCATTACACAGACCAAATGAAGAAACCCAGTATGAGAAGTAGTAAAATAACTTTTTCATTATGATTTAGAATAGCCCACATATTTCTTAGTCATTTAGAGCATAACTTTTCACTGTAATCTGAAATACACGT